CAGTATAATGCCCAACATACTTCCAAATTCCATATATAGCTCAAACTATAACTAGCAGGAAGAAAAATCAAAGAATTTAAAAAACCAACTAAAATTTTGGAAAATATCTTCTAATCCAAAAAAAGAAATTTTAATTTAAACTAAATCCAAAAAAAAAAAAAATATTATTCTAGCTGAGCCGTAATCAGATATAGTAAAATCTATTTAATATTTTTACAATCCACGTATAAACCTGTCACAACCTAAATTAAATCTAATTATACTTAACAAAATAAATAAAACCAAAATTACCCAAAAACATAATAAAAATTAAAATCATAACAAATACTTAATAAATCATAATCAAAATTAAAAAAAAAAATCATAATCAAAAAAATAAGAAATAAAAAACAAAAAAAAACAAAAGCAACAAAAAAATAACCATAATTATAATAGTAACTACAACTAGAAATACTACAAAAATAAGTTAACAAAGAAAAAATACCACTCAAAAAAATCAAAACAATAAAATAAGAGTATCATACATGAACACCCAAAGAAATATAGCAACTTATAAATAAAATTCCCAAACATATCATAATACAACTTTTTATAGGATCTCAATCTAAAAACCTCAAACAAAAAAACAAAACAGATAAAAAAAAACTAAGATAAAAAAATATAACAAAAAAGTTAAAAAATTCAAAACAAAAAAATTCTATAACTTTAAAAAAAAATAGAATAAAATCTTTAGTTTTGAAAACTAAAAGTTTAAAAATTAACCTAAATCTACAATTACTTGCTATAATAACCATAACCAACACGACGATATCTATAACTAGGGGTATTTTTACCAAAAACCTTTCAGCATAAACCAAAACCTAAGATCTCTTCTAAAAAGAATCAGGTAAAGGAGGGACATTAGAAATATAAGAAGGACTATGCCCATTATAAAAAGAAATACCTAAAAAACGAGAAAAAAAAATAGAATCAATCATTAAATAATTAAACAATATAAACCCAATAAAAGTAATAACAGAGCCTAGTGAAGAAAAAACTTGAAATATAGAATAACAATCTGGATAATCTAGAACCTTACGAGGCATTCCCTGTATACCAGCAAAATGCATAGGAAAAAAAGTTATATTAGTACCAATAAAAAAACAAAAAAATAGCAATCATTAATGAACCATCAAAAGAAATACCATACATATAAGGTAACCATAGACAAAACCCGCAAAAATTCCGTAAACAGCCCCTAGGCTCAAAGTATAATGAAAATGAGCTACAACATAGTAAGTATCATGTAACACCACATCTAAACTAGCGGCTCTCAAAATAATTCCGCTCAAACCCCCAACAGTAAAAAGAAAAATAAAACTATAAGTTCAACATCATAATGGCTGCATTTTTGGTTAGATCCAAAAAGGTACCCAACCAATTAAAAATTTTTACAGCTCTAGGAATAGCAATAATTATAGTAGCAGCCCTAAAATAGGTACAGTATCAATATCCAAGCCAGCTGTGTATATGTGATGACCCCAAACAGACGTACCAAGAACAGCAATTCAAATAGAAGCAAAAGTCATGCTAGTTTGACCAAATAGGCGATCCTTATCAGTTAAGAACAAAACAGCCTCACTAATAATACCGAAAACAGGTAAAATAATAACATAAACTTCAGGATGACCAAAAAACCAAAACAAATGTTGATACAGCAACGGATTCCCTCCATTTTTAGTATCATAAAAAGAAGTGTTAAAATTACGATCAAATAATAAAAACAACAAAGAACCAGCTAACACAGGAACAGACAACACTAACAAAAAGAAGTTAAATAAGAAGTCCAAACAAACATACTAGCCTGATCTAAAGTAACAGCAACAGAACGCATATTTTGAGTAGTAACTATAAAATTAATAGCACCAAGCAAAGAGCCAATTCCAACAGTGTGCAACCCCAAAATTATAACATCCAAAGAAACTTCCGGCTGACCCTCAACTCTCAAAGGAGGATAAAAAGTTCAACTACTACCAGGCCCACCACCAATAAAAAAGATTGATAAACCATCAACAAAGCTACAAAAGTAAATCAAAAAGACAAGGCATTAACCCGAGGAAAAGCTATTTCTGGAGCACCAAGCATAACAGGCAATATTCAATTACCAAATCCGCCAATCAAGATAGGCATCACCATAAAAAAATCATCAAAACCCCATGTATAGTTAAAACAGAATTATACACCTGGCCACTTCAAAAAATAAATAGCCACCGGGACTAGACAACTCAAGACGAATAATCATAGATAACAAAGACCCTCCGAGACCAGCCCAGTAGCCTAAAATAATATAATACGTACCAATAGTCTTATGATTAACAGTATTAATAATTCTCTGCTTCAATACATTACCAAAAGTCATACCACAAAAAATATTCATATTAAATAACAAAAATAAACCAAAAAAATTATAAACTATAAAAATTAAAGGTAAACAAACAACAGCCCGACTATCACAAACATAGCTAACCTTATTGCCAACCATAAAACAAACCATAATATAAATAGAATAGTAAAAAGAAACTAAATAATAAACAAAAAGAAAAAAAACACTAAAATAAAAAATAGAACTAAATCAATTCAACATTAAATACTCAGAAAAAAAGAAATAGAACTAGGAAAACCAAAATTAGAAACCATAGTTAAACAAAAAATTAAACAAAATAACAAATTAATACTAAAATAACCCCGTAAATAATAAATTAATCGACTTCTCGCAATATGGTAAAACTCACCAATAAAATAAAATATTAAAACAGAAGTATACCCATGAGATAATATCATAACTAAAGCTATAGACTTCCCATAGTACAACATACTAATCTCAGATAACAAAACAAAACCTATATGACAAACAGAAGAATAAGCAGCTAAAGATTTACAATCACTTTGAAACATACAAATAAAAGAACAAAAAACCATTCCAACCAAAGAAAAAAAAATCAATAACTCAAAACCAAAAAAATTTAAAGACTTACTAATACGATAAAGTCCAGCTCCGCCTAACTTTAATATAACTCCGGCTAGAACCATCCTAGTACTAGTAGGGGCCTCGACATGAACCTTAGGAAGCCATACATGCAAAAAATAAACAGGAAATTTAACTAAAAACATAAACTCAACAAAAAAATTAACTCAAATGATATAAAAAAATCATAATAAACAAAATTAAAAAAATTAAAAACATGACTAAAAAAAAATAAAAACGGCATACCAAAAAACAAAGTATAAAACACCAAATAATAACAAGCTCTAATTTTCTCGACCTGACGTCCATAGCCCAGTAAACAAAACAAAACAGGCAATATAGTCAATTCATAAAAAATATATAAAATTAAAAAACTTCCAGAAAAAAAAAAACAAACACATAAAAAAAACAATAAGACAACTATAAAAAACCAAACCACTCAAAACCTCAGAGACACAAATAAACCCAAGAATAAATACACTTATAAAAGATAAAAAAACAAAATTAAAAGAGTCAAAAAAAAAAAAACAACCACATCAAGAATAATCAAAAAAACCTAATAAAACAAACAAAGAAAAAAAAACAAAAAATAAAAAAGGACTAAAAAAAAACAACAAAACAACAAAAAAAAACAAATACAAACTGAAATTATCTTCTAATTACAAGTTAGAAATTTTTAAAAAAATTAAACTAAAACAGCAAAAAACAGACAATAAACCAACACAAAAAAATAAATAAATAAAATAATCATAATACTTTAGACCAAAATTAAAACCTACCATAGAAACACAAAAAAATAAATAACTAACACCCAAAGATATCAAACATATAAACAATAATAAAAAAATAAAAAAAACCAACCAAACTAGAAGTCCCAAACAACAATAAAACCTTTAAAAAAAAGTTAAACTCAAAGGAACATTAAAAAAATCATCAATATCTCCAAACTAATAAAATTAACATTACTATTATAAATATAAGAAATAATTAAAAATATAACAAAATAATAAAAAAAAACAAAACAAAAACCTCATTAAAAGAAAACATCCCCAGTAACAACAACCAATTAAAAGACTCAGTAGAGCTAATAACAACCATATCCAAAAATTACGTAATAAAAAAACTGAAAATAACAAAAAAATATACCAAAAAATAAAAATAAAAAAAAAAATCTCTACAAAAATTTAGCAAAACAACAAAATACGGTAATTTCTGCAAAGTCAAAAACCATAAAACAGACCAACCCTTTAAATCAGACAAAACACTAAACAATCAAAAATGAAAAGGAGCAGAACCAGACTTCAACATAAGAAAAAAAAATTGAAACTTCCAGCTATCAAAAACTAAAAAATAATAACCACAAATCTCTTGAATAACATAATAGTTAACCAAACAAGAAGTCCTTCCGACACTATTCAATGTTAAAAACACGAAAACAAAAGTACAGATAACAAAAACTCTCCATCAAATAATATAATCTAACACACAAAAGTTAATAAAACTCAAGAATAATATAAAAAAAAAAACAAAAAACAACAAAAATAGACGAGTAAAACCCAGAAATAGTTTAGAAGACTAAATAAAATCTATTTATAATATATAATCTTTTAATCGAAAATTAAAAATAATAACAAGTTTATACTAATATTACAAAAATAATTAAAAAAATAAGAAAAACAACATAAAAAAAAAAACTACCAAAACAGCAATATGATAAAAACCACGAAATAAAGAAAAAAAAAAAAGAAAATAAACGAAACAACCCCCCAAAAAAATAATTAAAGCCTAAAACAAAAACATCAAAGTAAAAAAAATTAGGAACAAACTTATAAATAATAAAAGAATAAGAATCCATAAAATATTTATTAACAAATTCAATAACAACATAACGAAAAATATAGTTAAAAAAACAATAAATAAAAAATAAATAAAAAAAAGCTACCAAGAACTCAAAACGATTAAAAACAAAAACTAAACTTATTATACTAGAGATTCATCAAAAAGTAAAAACAATAGAAAAAAAAACCAACAAAAAACAAGAATAATAAAACAACTTACTAGAAAAACCAACATAATCGAAAAAAAACAACCAACACGAAACAAATATATTATACGATAACAATAACAAAAAGTTAAAAAACCCCAAAAAATAAAAAAAACCAAAAAAGTTAAAAGAACCATAATAAAATCGAGACATAAAGTACTCCTTACTACAACAGCCACTAGTGAAAAGCAGACCACACAAACAAATCACCGACACAAAAACTTGTAATTGAACCAAAATTGGAGCACAAACACCCAAATAAGAATATCCCCGATAATCCTGGCTACCACAATTAATATAAATTAAATAGCCAATCTGCATAAATAACAAACTTTTAAAAAAGAATGACTAATTATGTGGATAAAAGAAACATAATGTAGACCACTGCCAATGGCCAAAAAACAAAACCCAATTTGAGACATAGTACTCAAGGCAACAACTTTTAGCATCCTGCTCAACTAAAGCGCAAAATCCAGAAAAAACTATGGTAAAAAAACCAACATAAAAAACAAAAGTTAAAACATCAGAATTCAAACAAATATAAAGATAACAATCCATAAGCATAACACCGGCAGTAACCAAAGTACTACTATGAACTAAGCAACTAACAGGAGTTGGAGCAGCCATAGCCTTAGGTAACCAACTACCAAAGGATACTGCCCACCCTTAATAAAAGCAGAAATAAACAATATAAAAACCAATAAAGAACTAAAAAACTGATAAGAAAAAGTACCAACAGAAAAAAAAACAAAACCATTAAAAAACAAGAAAATACAAAAATCACCAATTCGATTAGTAAAAACAGTACTCATAGATCTCCTACGGGAGACTACATTATTATAAAACAAAACCAAAAAAACTACTAACACCTAAAAATCCCAAAAAATTAAAACTAAAATAACACTACCACTAAAAACAATCAATCCTCCCATCCTTAAAACAAACAAAAACAAAAAAAAAAAAAAATAAAATAAACGAGAAACACCCTGCATATAAAAGAGCCATAAACAAAAACTATAAAAGAAACCAACAATAGGACAAAAAAAAATAAACAAACCTCAAAATTATAAGTAAAAACAAAACTAAAAAAATCACTAAAACCACAAACATAAACTCATTTACCATAAGGCAACAATATAATCAAAAAAATCAAGAAAAAATAAAAAATAAGAATATACCAAACAAACAATAAAAAAGCTTAAAAACCCTTTTATCGTAAATAAAAAATTCAAACAATAAACTAAAAAGCTAAAAGACCAAAACCAGCTAACAGACAATAAGCTATACTAAAATATACTAAATCTTTAAAAAAACTGAAAAAATCTAAAAGCCCCAAACATTTTATTTTAAAAATTAAACTAATTCAGTAAAGTTAAAGGCAAATACCTAAAAAAGTTTTCAAAACTTAAAAAAATTAACTCAAGGCTAAAAATCAAATGATCTGCAATCATCTATATTAAATTATACTACTAACCCAAAGACATCACAATAACTTTCCAAAATATCACTCCATATAAAAACTAAAGACAACATAAAGAAAAAATAAAAAAAAGAAAAAATACCATAAAAATCACCCTGGATCAAAATAATAAAAATAATAACCTCTAACTCAAAAACAACAAAAATCAAAACAATAGAAAAAAAACAACACTAAAACTATCCCGAGCCCCAGAAAATACATCAAAACCACACTCATAAGAACTCAACTTACCAAAATCAATAAATTTATAAGAAAAAACTATGGACAAAAAATATATAAAAAAGGAACCAAAAAGAAAAAAAAAACAACAATAAGATTTAAAAAAGAATAAATTCCATAAAAATAAAAAGATCATAAATATTAACCTCCATAACTTTCCTTTCGTACTAATCCCAATAAAAACAAATAAATATACAAGATAAACCGCTCTGTCTCACGACGAACTAAACTAATATCAAGTTCATTTTTTATACAAGAAGAACAGTCTCAAAAAAAAAAATTCTCTCTCTTTCCACAAAAAATATACAACATCGATGTAGCGCAGCACACTAATATAAAAAACTATTTATATGTCCACAACCCTGTTAACTCCGGAGTAATTTTTAAAAATAAAAATAGTAAAAAAATTTATTAAATTCCATCCCCAAGAAAATATTAGCAAAAAACAAAAAAAAATCAAATACTAAAACAAAATTTCCGAAGACTTATCTTTGTAATATTACAATCAATAATTTTTAATAAAAAAATAATTCAAATAAAATATAAACAAAAAAATTGCTAAAAACTCCATTCATACTTGAAAACAATAAAAAAACAAATCACTTACGCTACTTTGATGCCATCACGCTAAGGCTGCCATTTAAAAAAATCATAGAGCAGAAGACAACTTTAAAAAAAACCTAAGTTTTTAATAAACATTTAGCAACAAATCAAGTTCTAAAATAAAATTTAAAAATAAAAACAACACAAAACAAAAAAATTACTAAAATAAAAATAATAAATTAATTAAAAAATTAACCAAAAAAAAAAAAAAAAAAAAATATTATTTAAACAAAACAAATAACATATCAAAAAAATTATATTAAAACTACAAAAAATAAAAATATAACTTAACTATAAAATAATAAAAAACAGAAATAAAAGTACGTTATATCAATACAAAGTTATAATTATAATTAATTTCGTAAAAATAAAAAATAATAAACCTTGACACTTTATTTCTATTATTCATAAACTATGATAAAAACTTCTACTGATATGCAATACCAAAAAATAAAATTAAAAAATAATTAAAATTCAAAAAATCTTTTAGACCACAACTAAATATTTAAAAATTAAACTGAGAATTCAATCTAATAAATATCCTAAAGACCAAGATTTTCAACACTCCAAGGAAGTTAGCTCTAAAGCAATAGGCATAAATCTGTGATTAGCACCACAAATTTCAGAACATTGACCGTAAAATAAGCCACAACAAGAAAAATTAAAAGTAATTTTAGTTAATAAGCCATTCAAAGCGTCTATCTTAACAAAACACTTAGGCACAGCAAAAGAGTGAATTACATCACTGGAGGTGCAATAAAAACCGATATTAACACCAACAGGTAGAACACAGCGATTGTCTACATCAAATAGCCGAAAATCGCCCAAACTTAAATCATCTACAGGCTTTATAAAAGAATCAAAAATTAACCTACTATCCCCATATTCATAACTTCAATATCATTGATGACCAATAA